GGAATGTGTTTACTTTTTTAGTTTTGATTTTGAGCAGCAAATTTGGAGTTACATATTGGTGCTCACCAGGAATGCATAAGCAAAATTGCACAAATTTTCACTTGAAAGAATAGTGGCAATCTTGGGATTTTTTTCTGTTCAAATTTCAAATAGTGTGTAAATTGAATACACTTCATCTTCAGCATGTTTAGTGCCACTTTTGTAAGTTACCACGCCCCCATCCAGGCCACGCCCCTTTCCGCTTTTTTCATCACTCGCCATTGCCATCAGTGACAGTAATAATAATAATAATAATAGATTACATTGCAAGCGCCTTTCATAGCACTCAAGGACACTGTACAACCAAGAGCAAATAATAAAACTACAGATAAAATTTAAAATTATGTCATCAGTAATCGCTTCCTTTACATTTTCAAACATCCCTTTGTGTGTAGGTTTTTTTTTTTTTTTGTCGAGAGCTTTGTGAGAAATTGTCTGCTGCTTGTTTAAAGGAGGCAGAGGGCAAAGATTAATAAGAGTGAAGGTGTCGATTTGAGGCAATAGAGTCAACAAGATTGTTGATGCAAACTACTGAAACCATGTCATTTTTCTGCACTTTTACACACACACACACACACACACACACACACACACACACACACACACACACACACACACACACACAGGTCCTCTCATTCAGTCAGCATCATGCTGCGTGGTCAATAGACTTCCAGCAAGGGAAGACAGAATGTTGTGGAAATAACAACTGACAATCATCTGGGTCCTCCACTCTCCATCATCTCCTGCCTTCATGATTCCTTCAGGGTTCCTTCAAACCGAGAAGAGTGAAACACAAATCAAAATGTTTAGACCTTATGTTCTGTTTTAAATGTGATGATAGTGAGCAGATGATAATATTGTTCTATTTATTTCAAGTTTCTTAACTTTTTAACATGTTTGTGTCGACTGTGTGGTCATAGAAATTTGCATAAGTTGGGTTTCATGTCAGACCCACATGTTAGTGCGTAACATGGAACTCTTATGATTCATCAGAAGAATAAAACATTTGACTTCTCTTTTGCCGTGTCGTCTGGAGCTACTGTTTTTCCCCTAACAATAGAAGGTATCATGAATGTCTGCCCTGAGGAACTCCACTCATCAGTACAGTGAAACTCCTCTCAACGAAACCTACATGGGCGAAAATACCCCCCAATGTGAAAAAATCTTCATGCATTAACACCATTCCCACTCTCCTGTCCCCCATACAACGAAAAAAACCCTGTTGTTATACGAAATCTTTTTTTCTGCTCTTGCCTCGCGAAGAGATTCACTACAACGAAGTCTGAATAAAAATAGAGTACACATACGTGTGTGTGTGTGTGTGTGTGTGTGTGTGTGTGTGTGTGTGTGTGTGTGTGTGT